CTCATTCAAGGCAGTAGTATTTCTGTTTCGAAATGGATATTAAACTCTATGAATGTTAATTAATTATTAATATATGTCTTGGGTTTGATGTGTGTGTATGTTGACATTTTATCTTTCCGTTTGTAATTGATGTGTTCTAAGTTCCAACAAGTGGTGTTGAAATATGTTTGTCATCGAGAGAATTTTTTATTTTTTTTTTCAATCGCACAATAATTAAAAAATAACTTATTGGTTATCCAATTAAGAGGAGTAGTGTTTACAAAAGTAACTTTAGCAAATAAAAGTATGCTTAGCCCGTTCTTCTAGATTTTTTTTCTGAAGTTACTTTTGTAAACACTACTCTTGCTAATTGGACAACCAATCAAAGAGTTATTTTTTAATTAATGTGTGGTTGACACAGAAAAAAAAAACAATAGAGAGAATCACTTTATGAAGATCTCTTTTCATTGATTCTATTCCTTTTTTTCTTTTTTAAAGTGAAAAGTTTCATTATTGTTAAGTATAGTAAAGCTAGGGAACAGATTATTCATTGTTACTTAAATATATCTAAACGGAAATGAATAAAGGGCTTGAGAGACAATTTATATATAGATGTATTTACTTGGTGGCAGAGTTATGTGATTGTTAAGTAATAGGATTTAACTCGCGCTATACTGCGGGATAATTTTTGTTGTATATACAATTTAAGTTAAATTAGTTTGATTCGATATGTTTAATATTGGTAGTGTTAACAAAATAACAAAATGAGGATTTAATCCATATTGAAGCGTCGGATTAATGATATTTTAATTTTAGTTGAAACCAGTCCCTCCATATAACCTGTCATCAGTATAACCCCTCTCGTGTTATTTTAATTTTTATATGTTTAAATATTCATAATACTTTAAATTTTTTGTTAATTTTAAATATATCAGTTATAATATTTATTTTTAAAAAATATTTACTATATCCAGTAAAATTTAAGTGTTCAACTTAAGAACTAAATTAAACCGTATACAAACTTTTAAATTTGGATGATTGGTAAGTTAAGCTTCCTGTCTTCGGATTTGAATTCATTTTAGTTTTATTTATAATATGACTCTCAATCATTTTCTAAATATTTTAGCCGATATGGAATGTTGAATACACATTTTTTTTTATTAATTGTATAATATATGCTCGTTTGTAAAAAATTCAAATTACATTAAATGAACAAAAAAATTAGAGTTTTATTAGCTTTATGTATTATATGATAATTTTAACAACTAAAAAATAAAATCAAACAAAGATGATAGGAGTATCATAATTTTAAATTTTAATAAAATCTTCTAAATATCTATATTATTAATTGTAGAACATGATATGGATATTTTAATATTATAATTAATGATAAAATCTTTTAGTTTTGTTTAATTACAAAAATAATAGAAAATTAATTGTAAATTTATTTGGATACATAAATAAAATGTAATAGTTTTTTTTGTAAATACTTACTAAAACAACTTTTATTTTCTAAACTGTACTTCAAAAATATTAACATAGATTTACGTGAGGACAAACCTATTTTGTAGTATGCATGTGATGAAAATTTTAAATCATTTGCTAACTTTATAAATTCTATGCTGTGGCCACTAAAGGGATTTTTACAAAATTTAAAATCATTTGCTAACTTAATATATAAAGTCTGTACTGTGGCCAAGGGATTTTTTACCGTAACCACTGCACGTGGAAAGATATAGAAACCCAACTAACTCCAGTTCGGTAGTCTCTGTAAACCAAACCCAATTGACTGTCAAAAACGAAAAAACAATTTAGCATCTGAAAAAGTTTAATAATGGGTAAATATGTTTCCATTAAAAACGAAAAAAAAAAACAATGTAACATATTGTTATGGATGTCATGCGGAAATGTTCGTTTTATTCTCCAAACTATTTGCAATTAACATAATTATTCTCCAACTATCGTGTGTACAAATTTAATCTTCAACTTGTCGTTGACTTAACAATTTTGGTCTAAAATTTGGTCAACGTTCAAAAATTAACAAAGAAGCGTTAAATAACTCGATTAAAATCTAATAAACTCAAAAAATCTCTAAATTTCCCCTCAAATTAAAGTGGAAGCTAGAAACTAGGATTCTTAACCATCCATTCAAATTGGAAGCTTCTTCCTTCATCTAGACATGATACTCTCGTCAAAATATGCAAATTCGATTTCAATCTCTATGTGTCTCGCAATCGATTTTGAGAAGAAATCACCTAGGGTTCTTAGCTTTCAATTTGGGGGAAAATTTGATAATTTTCTGAATTTATTAAGTTTTAATCGAGTCATTTAGCGTTTCTCTAATAATTAGTAAACATTGACTAAATTTTGGGCCAAAATTGTTAAGTCAACGACAAGTTGAAGATTAAATTTGTGCACACGATAGTTGGAGAATAATTATTTTAATTGCAAATAGTTGAAGAATAAAATAAGCATTTTCCCGGATGTCGTGTGGGCTTTTACACGTGATTCAGCTTTTGAATTATTGAATTGCTTAAAGCTGGACTTGTAGTTAGGGTTTATTGCCTTTATGTTTCCATAAAATTATTAATCGTTGGTAACTAACTAGCATTTGTTTGAAAGATGTTTTACTAAACCTGCCATATTTGACATTTCGACTAAAAGTGATTCTTCTTAGGTAATAAAATCATGCAAGTCGTTTTCAGTTTAAAGTAAACCATTAGACTTGCGGCTTACATAAAGGGCCAGCTCTGTGAATTAATCCACTGCTGGAAAAGTAATAATAATATACCCTTATATGTATGTTTCATTTCATAATATATCCATGTCAATTTAATTTAATTGAATGTATACATTAATTAAATTAAAAAAAAAAACAATTCACAGATTAAATTACATTTGGTATCACAAATATTTCCTACAATATGTAAAAATTCCAAAACGTACAACTTAAAGGAACGAAGAAAGATATGTTTTCGTAAAAAAACATAAATTAATATAAAAAAAAAACCCAAAATTACTTTCTTTTTTGGAAGAAATGTTAAATTCTAATTAAAACAATAAAATTTATATACATTGAATTAAAAATTAGATTATAAGCTAGAAAGCGTGTGAAATTTTAATCATAACCACGAGCTTGAAACCACCGACGTAGGAGGCTATTCGAATGTCCAACATTGCATGGAATTAAGATCTTTGAGTAATATATATAGGATGTGGCAACCTTTAACTTTTGAGCTAGTTTTTGGGTTAAGTTAGACTACATTCCTAATATGGTATCAGAGCCCAGGGTTAGCCCAACAAACAAATTTCTCACAAAAATGGTTTTCCACCTATATGGCCCATATAATTGGCATGTCTTGTTGTATTTCTGAGATGTTGGGCTTGAACTGTTTTTCGTTGGACCGTTTCCCACCCACATCTCGAGGAGACCTATTAGAATGTCTCACATTGCTTGGGATTAAGATCTTTGGGTAATATATATAGGATGTGGTGACCCTTAACTCTTGAGCTAGTTTTTGGGTTAAGTTATGCTACATTCCTAATAGAGGCCCCAAGCTTGTGTGATTTTCGGTATCGTAACGATGATACCTCTCGATGACGCGGAGAAGGTATGAGAGAGGGTGATCTACCTGCTGATGCCTACTACCATTATTTTCCTTCCAAAATTTTCTTATTTTTCTGTTGATTTGAATCTCAATCAGAGTTTTGTATGATAAAAATAGAAAACTAGTAATTAAGGCATAATCCTCCAGATGATCTTTAAATCTTTAAAATTCTATTTTAATCCCCTGATTTTGGCAATAGAGCTGTGAAAAAGACAAATGTCAACCACCCAAATTAATTAAGAGGTATCATCATCTTTATTTGATAGTTATGGGTATTATTACGTACCTATCGAGATGAGTCAACTTTATTTACCTTCAATTTGGTAAGAGTTTCGGATTCGAATTCTCTGCTTGGGTCTTCATTCTTCATCTCTGCTTGGGTCTTCATTCCGCCACAGTCGTTCGACTCATTTGTTGCAAATCTCATTCGACAGCGACTCATTTGTCTTATTTAAATGTCTTTCTTAAAGCAAGATTTTATTATTCCTATTTGCGTACTGTAAATCAAAAATAAACTAGAACGAATCACCAATGACCATTATCAATGAAATTTTGAAGATTGAATATCTTTTTTATCTTTTGAAAATTTTGAAGATTTTATATATATATTCTCTCCTATATAGTATATATGTTTCATTAAGAATGTGATTCTAATATTTTTTACATAGATTAAGAACAGTAAACAAATATCATTTTTACTTTTTATTAATATAATAGATAATTTTTTTTTTCTAATTAATAAACTCAAATAGTATGGATAAAAAAGATATTCAATCTTCAAAATTTCATTGATAATATAAAACGATACATTTTGTGAAACAAGATTAACACTTTAAAACGACACTCTTTGCGAAACAAATAGAATATTATTTTATTTAACTATTATGTTTCAAAAAAAGTACATCATTATTTTTCACATTAATTCCTAATATTATCATTTTCCAAAGTACAGCCAACTAAAACTAATTGAAATTTCACATTATATTATTTCAATCTTTCAATAGATTCTATACATTGACAATATTGAAATAATTTGACTCTATAAGTTAATTAAAATTTTAATTTAAATAATTTTTATTTTCCGATCCGTGGAACTTACACCAAAACAAAAACATTTGTTCTTAAAATTTATTTTTATTTCTGCACACAGTGCATCAATTATTTAATTTTAGTAACAGTAAGTCAAATTGGTAGTTGAACCTAAAAAAATTAGTGAAACATCCACATGATCTTAAAATCTATATGTATTCTATTACAATGCTCCAATTTCGGCATATGGCTGGGGAATGGGGATAAAGACGTATATCATCAACAACTCAATTATAGGTGTCTTTCACACATTTTTTATATACCAAAATTGGAAAGCACGTGAATTATGTCTATAAATAAAGGTTTCCAAAGCCCTCTTCATAATTCACTCACAAAATCAGTACTATAGCTACTAAACACTCTAACAATGGCAAACCAAATCTACTTATTCTCTTTGGTCTTCTTCTCTGTTTTACTTTACCAATCCACTACAGTCTTATCTTTCCAAAAATCATTCGACCTCCAAAAACCATGCAAGCGTTTCGTCTTCCACCTCCATAATGTTGCCTACGATGGTGATAACATGGATAATGCCACGTCAGCAGCAATTGTGAACCCATTAGGACTAGGAGACTTCAATTTTGGGAAGTTTGTGATCATGGACAACCCTGTGACAATGGACCAGAACTATCACTCGAAGCCGGTGGCACGTGTTCAAGGCTTCTTCTTCTACCACGGTAAGGCGAAATATGACACTTGGCTTTCTTGGTCAGTAGTATTCAATTCAACACAACACAAGGGGACATTGAACATAATGGGTGAAAATCCGTTTATGGAGCTGACTAGAGACCTACCGGTCGTTGGTGGGACTGGTGATTTTGTCATGACTCGTGGGATCGCTACGTTCATGACTGATCTCGTTGAAGGCAATAAGTATTTCCGTGTCAAAATGGATATTAAACTCTATGAATGTTACTATTAGAGTTACTCTTGGGTTTGATGTTTCTGAGTTGATATATTTGGGTTTATTGTTTCTTTGTTGGCATTTTATTGCTTTTCTCTGTTCGTAGTTGATGTTGTACCAAGTTCTAATAAATGGTATATTGAAAACGATCTCTTAAAAGTTTTTTGTGTGTGTGTGTTTTTTTTTTTTATTTTGACATCTTTGGATCGACAAGACCCGATGTATAGTCAATCCTTACTACGCGGGGTAATGCGATTTAGTGGAGTCGAACACAATGGCGGACTCAGAAATTTTTTTTGCCCGGTGCAAAATTATAATCGTAAATCATTTGTTTTATAATATACACTTTACAAATAAAAATAACAGAAAAATCTCTTCAAAAATAAGAATAAATTTTGAGCAAAACAATTTGTATTTTTAATATTATTCAAAGTTAAACTATTATAATAATAAAATGAACAAATGTTGAAAATGATTAGTTTGAATAGAAGAAAAACTTAACATATCCTTAAAATATCTAATGAAATTATTGGTATGCATTTGACAGAGATTGCAATTTCAGCAATTTTACCATAATAAAATTAAATATAAAACTGGGAATAGGATATTTTCTAGGATTTTATGCTCATTTTGTATTAAATGTTATAAGTGTTATTAAAACTTTAAGAAAGAAAACAATGTATATTTTTTTCCTTTTAAGTGAAAAGAAGGTGCAAACGAAAAAAATTAACATGGGTCAATTAATAATTTTTCTCAAAATTACTTAAGAGTTTCAAAATTTAACCAGGTCACTTGACCTTCCTTTTGTCTACGTGGGTCCGCCCATGGTCGAACACCGGTGGACAAAGCGGAGTCAAATGGACTTAACCACTTCACTAAAGACACATCTCCGTATGTTTTGTATATATAAGTTTTAAACATACAATGTACATCTACTAACTATCTTATGTTGTAGACAATTAATTGACGAATCATATCAGCAATACTAAGAGCATCTCCAATGTACTTTTTCTAAAATAGAATAAAGTTTATCTCCAATGCATCATTTTATTTCTTAGTCTAAGATAGAGTTAGTATAAAATAGAATTACTTTAAGTATAAAGCGGGGGTTTGAGAGAATGTTACTCTATAATAAATATGAGCTGGAGATGCCCTAACGATTTATAAGTTTCCGACAATTCAACTATCGAAATAAAAATAATGAGAAATCAGAATCATAACTGTGAAGTTTCAAGGGGTTTCAATTCAAAATCAATTGGCAATAAGTGGAGTGACTCATGTCCTTTATATACTACTCAAGTCCCTTCCTATCTTTCCAATGTGAATTAAATGGCTTCGAGTAAATAAAAGTAAGACGAATTGTAGTTGAACAACCATCATCAACTATGAGTCCTAAAATCTTAAATTGATTGACTTTGGCAATATGTCAACAATTAAATTTTGTCCCTCAAACTCATTTTTATACTAAAATTAAAGAAAGATCAATTATATATGTATTATGTATATATATAAATAAAGGTTTCGAAAGCCCTCTTCAAATCAACAAAATCAACACTACTCATTTCTACTGAGCTCTCTAACCATGGCAATAGAGATCATCACTTTATGGATCGGAGATCACGTTTTAAGTATACATTGCGTGTAAACCTACAATAATGAAACTTTTCACCTTTGCAGGCTTTAAAAAGAAAAAAGATTACTCATTGTTACTTGAATATGTCTAAAAGGAAATGAAAAGTGCTGCATACTAAAAAAGAACTGCAACAGGCTAAAGGCTGTAAGCAATCTTAAGAGCCAAGTAAGAAATCTGATAATTCCACTATAGATCTCTCATGTGTATGATTTTTCGATCCAATTTTCCATCCAAATATTTGCATTAGGATTTTTTGGTTTATAAAATAAACAAAATATATATATATATCAGTTTTCGATATGTTTTGTACATTAGGATTCACTGATTCAGCTATGTATATTTATTTAATTTTTGGAATGTTTAGCACATATTGTCTTCAATCTTAATGATAGACTTCTTTACGCGGTCCGATCCCTGTGTACATTATGGCAGACTCATTTTGTAGTATGTAAGTGATGGCATACTTATTTAATATTACATACTAAAATATATAGAAGATGCATGATACACATACGCAGCAAAATAGCTGGAGAAAAAAAATAAATACGATGAAACGAATTTGGCAGAAAATTCCAGCAACTTGATGAACCAGCTTGATATTTTGAATAAAATCTAATAATGAGCTACTTGGAGAAACTTACATACATATGATTTTTAGAAGATTAAATTCTATTAAATTTCTGTCTTGCACTTAAAAATATAAAATCGAAAATAATATATTATATAAAAAAGGTTTTTCAAAAAAGAATATAATATATTAGTATCTTCATCTAGTTCATATAAACCCTAAAAAACTATATATTTGTGCAAAATTCTAGTCTAGTGGTCAGAGATTTAAACCAAATATGGAGTTCTATTTTCTAAAGAATACAAATTTTCTTATAGATTAACGATGTAAAGGTATTCGCAAGTTTGAGAATGCGCCAGGCGAAGCCATACGTTATAGTCTTGAGTATTATAGGGGTAAGAATATCCATCGTTGGTATGATGCATATGTAAGAATCGACGGTAGAAGATCCGAGTGTTGCGGAAAGAGGTGCAAGTTAGTAGAATTGTTCGTCGAGTCGTTCATAATCGCATGTATAGATCTAAGAAATTAATTATCATTTGTAATAGGATTATATCACACTATATAATTATATATGATGATAATATAGCGCGCAAAATAACAGTATAAATGAAAGCGATAGTATTGAATTTAAATATTCGATCAATGATTTGATGAGTATATATAATTTAAAATACGATAATTAACATAGGTTAGATACCCTAAATCATATAGTGACTAGTGAGAGCAAAAACTTGATTTTGTATCATTTATATTATTCTCCTAGTTATATGGGTAGATCTTCATAATATCCTTTTTTTTAAGTATGATAGATAATATTCTCCTAGTTATTTTATTTGTATTATATTATGGCATGAGCCACTAAAGGGATTCTTATACCCCAACCATTGCACGTGGAATGATATGGAACCCCAACTCAATCCATTCCAGTAATCTATGACTCTCTGCAAAGTTTACCGTCAAAAAAAAAAAAAAAAATCGAAAATCAAACCCACTCTCCAGTACCATCTCAAAACCTTTTAGAAGTAGAGTAATTACGCTACGTACCGTAAGACTGAGAATTATTTAAATGAAAGGATCAGTGGCACGTTCGTAAATAAGTGATCCTTTGAAAACATGACAAAAAGACAGAAATGCCCCCAAAACCAAATGTTTCATTCCTTCTTTCTTCCTTTTCGTCTCTCTTTTCTTTTATTATTTATTTTTTTCTTTTTATTTTTTTCCTTACTTTATGAAAACCCAAAACAAATAATTCTTCTTAATTGTGAAACTGATTGCATATAAAATTATGATATTTTTAATTCATTGAACTCGTCGTATTTTTCTTATCAGAATGCACTCAATAAACCTTACAAAATTTTCTGTACAAAGACGTCGCGAATTTGATGTCGTTCATGTTATCAATAGGCATATATAAGAAATGATTTGGGAAACCATCAAACCGGTGATGCTATCATCGACCAATGATGGATAAACATATTTATCTCCCAATTCATTCGTTGTCACCGTCTTCCACTTATGTTGTCTCACTATACTCTCTTTTCCATCCCACCACCACCACCTCCTCCTCCACCGCTAACATATTTTCCACTCACATCACCATCACCACCTCCTTCACTAAGATACAATCCACCACATCCACCACAATGTCCTATTTACTTCACTCATCCTCCAGATCCACCATAGTCCTCACCCCTCATCGTCGCCAACAAACTCTCTCTCCCTATCACTACCACTATCTCAAATATCAATATATCATGATATATATTAACAAATCTTGATATATATTTATTTATCACGATATTTTAACATATATCATAATATATATTGCGATACCATGATATATGTTATGATATATATTACTATATCATGATATATATTGCTTTATATATCATGATATATATATTGAGATACCATAATATATGTTATGATATATATTGATATATTATGATATATATTGCTATATCATGATATATATTGCTATATGTATAGCAATATATATTATGATATATATATTGATATATCATGATATATATATATATATATATATATATATATTAATGTATCATATGTAAACAATATTACTGAAATATTACGATGTAAGATATATATCCATGTATCCGATAATAAATAAGATATCACGATACGTAATTGCATAGCAGAATATACTATCGACGCAGACATTTAATAAGTGGTGGCTCACTACAGATTCTCTGTCGCATCTGTCTCCTACGAAATTATCTTCCTTATATTTTGGAGGGTATTTTCGTCCAGAATTTGTTACTATACCATTTTCTCTCTCTTGTTTTGCAAAGACCAAAAAATGTACACCGAATTCCTAATTATTTCTTAAAAAAGTAGCATACAGTTAATTGACTCTTAGAAGTACTATTCATTTTTAAAAGGGGAAAATCACATTTTTAACTCTCAAAGTGTGAGTGAGTAGCACTTTAAACCTCGAAAGAATTTCACTAACACTATAAACCACCAAGATATTTTTACTAACACTTTAAACCTCCAAGCTAGCTTTTTTGGTTTGCGCCGCCATAAAAATGACGGAACAATCAATTTCTATTTGTTAAATATAAATTTAATTAATTTAGTTTTAATTTTAATTAATTTTATTTTTATTACAATTAATAAAAATCTTAAAAAAAAACAAAAAAAAAATTTATCTTCTTCGTTTACTCACAGTCCGACCATGAAATTTTTTTATAAACCACTGAAACTAAAGACTAAAGCACAAGAGAATTATAAAATAGAAGAATATAAATCAAATATTGTAGAATATGAGATTTGAGAAAAAAAAAACATGGTAAAAACATAGTATGAACTGTATAAAAACCTAAATTTTATGGTCAGTCGGTGAATAGTCGAAGATGATGAATTTTTTTTTTATCTGTTTTATTAATCGTAAAATCGTAGTAAATAATAAAATTAACTAA